GCCCCCTTCCGCCCTCACCGTGCCGCCGCCGCCGCCGCCCCCTCTCGCACCCCCCTCTGTAAAAAGCTTCCATCCTCTTGTTGTTATTTTATTATTATTATTGTATTATGCACACACAAACACATTGTAAAATTCATTGTATAGTCAGACACCTGTGCAAGCTTCTTCGTCTCGTGGTGAAATTTTGTGGGAATTAATATATTCTGGAAAATGGTGATATTTGTTTTCAAATTGTACTGCACGTTATTAAGTATTTTCTTCTTTGTAATACGTGTTCTTTGAACAAAAAAAATAATTTCCCTGCACTCACGAACTGAACGAAGAAGGTTGGACAGAACTCGCTCTTTATTTTTTGCTTGAAAGATGCGTGAATGTATTTTGCAAGAATGTTATAGTGAGAAAGGTGTGTTACTAAACTTATTTGTTTCGTTGATAGAGTGTTAATTTAATTTTATTTTGTATTGTAAACTCCTATTCTTAACGTTTGCCTTCTGAAAACGTGTGGCTGATCTTGTCTCGAACTGTGCTTCACACCTGAAAGCGCGAGTCCCTCAAACTCGTCTTGGCTCCTCCTTCAAAGCGAGTTCTGCAGAGTGCACGCCGGTGGCGCTGTATCGCCCCGTCTGCCCGAGCAACCAGCGATTAAAAAGCCAATCGTGTTAGAGGTTTGTGATGCTCTTTGTGTATGAATAAACGAATATACTGCCCGAAAGTCGTTTCGACAGCTCCCTTATTTTTCACTTTAAAAAAAAATGTTCCAAAAAAACTAAAGGCTTGGTTAAAAGATGTCACTTGTGTAATCACAGCTTGACTATCGGGCGTGTATGTTCTGTTTCTCCTACTTTCACTCACCAAATAAATAATCGAAAGGACATCGGGGTTACTTCTAGTAGGTTTAGGCAATGTACAATATGCCGAAGAGATATCTGCCCATCGTGCACTTTTCCTGCTTATCTGCCTCTTATGTACTGTCTTGGGGTTCGGCCTGAGCCTCTTGTGTAATTCAGTCATGTGGACCCACACTGCACGCTAAATGTACCATAAAATGTGGTGATCAATAAAATGTTATAAAAGATTTTTGTCTTTTCAATTCAATTATACTCCTCTGCGATAATCTTGCATTCCTCATCCCTCTTCCACAAGTGTGTTTTCCTTAAACTCAATTATGATAATCCTATTTATGCCATCATTAGAATTCCATATTAGTAAAATTGATCTCTGAATATGAAATATTTTACAATTGATAATTTTATCATTAGCGTAAAACTAAAATAACAGAAAATAAACATCAACATAAATAATAAGAAAGTGGATAACGTAAGGAAAATAGTTGCAATTGATTATTTGGAACAGCTATGTTCAATAGTCCCACAAATGTAGTGAATTTTATAATCCGAAAGATGGTGGTGCATCGAACGCTGGAATATGAGATCCGGCATCAACCTACATATCGCCTTCCCCCTCCAGGGATCTAGGCAGACGCACTTCCCACCCCAAACGGGGCAAGCTCTGAGCTCTTGACTCGTCTCCCGACATTTGTGAAAGCGCAGTGGAGGGGTCTTTGCCTTGAGGAACCCTTCGAGCTCATGGTTTCCTTGAAGGAACCTCGTGTTTAAGCAGCAGATGAATCACTTTATCCAACTTTTTCTTCAGAAATTCTCAAAATTATTTAAACAGTAAAAAATATATAAAATACAGTGATTGTCGCATAATAATAATTTTACACACAGGTACACTTTCCTTCTTTTTGGACATTCACAACCCAACATTTTCAAAAAAAGTTTTCCTTTTTAAATATTGTTATACACAATTTTTTGCAAATTCATGTAAATAAATTCGTCAGAAAATGAAAACAAAATCTAAAAATGAAAAAAACAACTTATTTGGTATCCTATTATATTATCCTTATAATTTTTTCAATTGATTTATCAATCTTACATGTTAGCACAATCAATTACCTTTATTAATGTACTGCTCCGGCATTTGCGTGGTATTCATTCGAGGAAACATGGGAAGTAACAGACGTGTGGCTGTCCGCTAGAAATATCCTCTAAACAGTGGCTGGATTTGACTTATCTAGCTAGTGTCAAAACCCGACATCGTCGAGACTCGTGTTGCCCTGAGCCATCTCAGATGATCATATTTTTTAATAATATACCTACGTATACCAGCAAAACCTACGTTACAGTGGAAGTAGTGACGGCTCAAGAATTGAAAAATTCCTGACGCTGAGCGAAGTAATTATTTTTTCACGCTATTTCCATGCAATGATTTATGAATTACTGTGCCATGGACATTAGCTTAAATGATCGACTGACAGAGGTTGAATTCGACCTTGCTATGTACACAAATGACGAAAATCCGGAACCGCAGGGACTCGGACACTACAACCTCCAGATCAACAATCCTGTGGAATAATTATGTTGCCGCAGAATTAACGCGGTGTGTTTGATCGGAGGAAATCAAGGATGCGACCGACACAGGTGCCAGTCTGTAGATTTCTCATCCAAGCAGTGTCTGCCTCAGTTACACTTCAGATGAGAGTTCGCTAGTACACTCGGTAAATATCAGAGCTAAGATTAAGAGAAAGTGTTGAGAAAAGATGAAGATATTTATTATACTAGGTAGGTATTTCAGTAGACCCGGCGAATGACACACTCAGAGCAAATCCTATATACTTGTATATATACACTCTGATGACATTTTAAATAATTGATTTTTTCTACTCATTGTATAATTTTGTCATTTGATGGCTGCAACCCGTTGCGTAATGATACTCATTACGATGTAGATTTCATTATGATACAAGTTCTTGACCATTTACAGAGAAGTTTTTGAAACCAACTATTGATAATTAATCAAATATTGTAGTAAATGTTTCGTTTGATTACATACATTAAAATTGCGTTTAATATAGTATTAGGCTTGTTAGTTTTAATTTATTTTATTAGTAGTATTTTTTTCGTATACTATAATTTAAAATAAATTGAATCGTAATTTCACTCTGATTCTATTTGACTAGCGCAGTGGTAGTTATTGGAGGGAACATTTAACTGACGTTAAGATCAAGACACTTTGTGTTAAATGTTGCTGCCGTGTGGCTGTTCTTAAAACCAGAGGTAGAACTGAAACTTCCAGAAACACGCAAAAAAGGGAAAATGGTGAATTATTGCCGATTGGTACACCAAAGCCACCTGCGGCAGGATAGGGTGGAGAACTTGTTGGCCTTGGCTGAATCCCGCATGTCAACTGCCAGGAAACGATTCAATGTATCAGTTTTAACTTATAAAAGTTACCATAACCATAAAGTGCCGTATGAAACTTGAAGTAATGGGTATGAATACACTGGGGTAAAGTTTACGATACTCGCTCGGATCGTAATATCACACTCGTGTATTAATACTCATCATTACGTCATCGTTTCATAATGTAATATAATTAAACTGAAATTAGGGATTGGGAAAACAACACCAGTTATCTTGAGCGGAGACTAGACTGGAGAGAAATAAATAAGTCAAGAAGCTAACAATAAGTTAATCAGTAATTTTATGATAAATTAGTAAACAGTTAAGAAATAAGTCATAAGTCGTAGTCAATTGGTAAGTAACAGGTCAATATAATAATAAAATACAACTGGCAATAGTAATAGTAAGTAAGTAGAGGGAATCCAAAATACTAAGGCAGAGGCGTTGGTGCGGGACGATCTCTGTGGCGCCGTTTGATTTCAAGGTGGCTGAGGAGGCCAAGCACTGGAGGAGACGGGACGCGCGCCGCCAGAATAAAGTTAAATAAACGTCGGGTAGATTAAATTTCGGTTCTGACGGGCAGGTTTTCCCCCTTCAGGGTTTTTTTCCTGAGCGCTACCTTATGGTCTCTTTTCGCGGCTTTGAGCGATGGAGAGGCCATTTGGGGTGAATACCAGAATTCCGAAAGGATTGACGCGAAAGGATGTAGGTATTGTAATGGTTAAAGGCCCTAGCTAGCACATAGGATCAATTAGCTAATTGTTTGTAGTATTACCTATTAAATAAAATAATAAATAAATTCGAAAAATTAGACGCGAAAAGGATGTGGTATTGTAATGGCTTAAAGGCCTCAGCCTGCTCATAGGATCAATTAGGCTAATTATTTGTAATAATTAACCTACTAAATAAATAATATAATATAATTAAACAAATCATTGTTTTGTAAGAATGTATTTTAAATCAAGTATGAAAAAGAGTAAAAAACGCGTAGGGCAGGGAAGGGCACAGGGATTTGCGGCTCGCGGCGGGGGCGGCGGGGCCGGGGTGGGTGGGGGTGCGTCAGCGTCGTGCGGTGGGCGAGGAGCGCGGGGCGAGCGGGCGGCGGCGGCCGCGACGACGGCGGCGGCCGGGCGGCGGCCGCGGCGGCGGGCGTTGCGCGAGCCGGGGCGCGCCGCAGGCCGGGCGGCGAGCAGGCGCGCAGGCGGCGCGCGCGGCGGCGCGGCGGCGCGCCGTCGGCTGCGGCTTCGGCGGCCCGCGGCGGCGGTGGCACCGCGCACTGGGCGGCGGGGTTCCAGCCTCCTCCACCACCAGCGGGCCTTGCGCAGGCGGCGCGTCGTCGACAGAGGAACTTGGGTGCGGCGACGAGGGCTGGGGCGCGGTCGGCGCAAGCGGTGCGGGTGCGCCTGCGGCTCGTCGCTGCGCCGGCGGCCCCGCCACCGCAGCTCC